AGAAGAGGAACGAGTAACCATCGACGCTTTGCGGGCACGACAAGTCGCACGTTGAGGACCCTCATCGTCATATTCGTCGTTGGCGGGAGAGGGGGGGGGGAGCGTAGTTGCCATTGAGACTAATGCCTTCACCTGATTTTTCTCGGTTATCCTGTTTCAAGAGTGCTTTATGTCATCCCCGCCATCTCCCTGTCGATAACAGTGTTTTGGGAGAAAAAGTTGTCGGAAGTGGAAGGGAGATGGAAGAACTGCGGAAGATAGAAGTTAGGAAGGAGGTCGCACCAGAGGAAGAAATTTTGAGGGGGGGGGGGGTTTCGTGCTCTGCAAAACATTTTCCCCAACGCTGAGACGTGCCTTGCTTGCAGGTGTAGGTCAGGAGATCAGGAGAGCGGCAATAAAGTACAACTAGACAAGAATATAAGCAGAGCACTTTCTTGATAGCTGGCACGATTTCCTGCTCTTATACGGTCAACCAGTTGGCTCCTGGTGCGAATGTCGCGCACATAACACCACTCCCAACACCGCAACGTGGATCGCCCCATCTACACCTACACTTTCTCGACGTTCAGCGCATTTCTCAGGCACTACTCAAGACCGTCGACATAAGAGACTCCGTGAAAAGAATCAAATGCTCAAAAAAGAGCCGGTTGCTTCCAGTGCTTGGAAAAAGCAGGATATTCCCCAAGCACGAAAGAAATCGCTAGGTAAAACTAACGTTGGTATCCGAATATTCCGAATTTCCACCATCGATGATAATATCGCCAGCTTCCAAATGAAGGAACAACATTGGCAATCATTGAATCGACTGGAGCTCCAGCTTTTACCAGCATCATAACCCGACGCGGTCGTTTCAGTTTTCTGATATGAACATTCTCATCAAAACTGTATAAAACAGATCAAAGTTTACATGTGAGAAGTAAGGACACAGGAAAAATAAGCAGGAGGAATTTGGAATTTATCATCATGTTCTCATGCGAAGGCCATAGTCAAGACCGGGTCAAACGATGAGAGTTAATTTGAGCACGTGGTTCTCAAATAGGCAGTGTATCAGAATTTGACTATGGCCACTCTTCTATAATGACACCTTTAGTCTGATGTTAAGGCGAAATCCACTGTTCTATAAGCTGGTAACTGCCGCACTCACGCTTAAGGCCGCAGTCCGCGCTTCGAAAGTTATCACAAAGTTGAGTTATGAGCAGAAGTCATACTCCAGGTTGGACTCGAACCCGCGTCTCCCGCTGACCAGCGAGTGCGCTACCCATCGCGCCACTGGAGCCGCTCTTACCCTCTCAACTCACTGTACTTTTCGGATACTTACTAAACATAAGCTGCATCAGGGTCCAGCGCGGGCGAATTGGTTTGGAGTCCTGGCGCGAGAGTGTTTCCTGACACTTTTTTGCACTACTCCAGTTACGCTTGGGTATACTGTGGAATACTGCGACGATGGGTATAAAGTCAGAGAATACCATCTTCTTCGCTGCAGATGAAGGGGCGTAACAGGTGGGATGGAATAGGCGCAGAGCCAAACCAGTTGCTGAAGCGGGCAAGTGACAACAACTGGTGGAAAACGAATGATATGAACGATATGTCTTATTAATAGCACGCTTCAAAACCTGGCGGAAAATGGGCGTGTCACGCGGAATAGGTTTAGCGCCGCGCCAAACCCATCCAGCCTGACACGCCCCTTCACCCATAGCGAACAAAACAGTACTTTCTTGCTAGTTCACTCGACATACTTCAGCGTTTTCACGCCGAATCATTATGCCTTGCTGCGAACGACACCCACGCGACACCACTCGCAACGTGGTTGTCGCGGTCGCATCATGGATCTCTTGCTTTGTACGCGCTAGTCTTATGTGCTCACGTCATTCATGCAGAGGAAAAGAAAAGAGATGAAGTGCTACTATGAGAGCCCTGTGAGGTAGAGCACACTGTCGTTGGGAGACCCAATTAAGAGGTCGCGCCCGGCCGTCTGCGGGAGGGGGGGGGGTGCTACCTGGTCGCTGCGTAGGATATGGTACTTGACCGATCGGGGTCGGTATTTTGCCTTGGTAGAAAATTTTCCGAGCCGAGATAAATTTTTTCGTTGCTGACTTCTTCCGATTTTTCGATGTGCGCTAGACATCCTCTGCCCCACCTCCCGCCCCCAAAGGCAGTTTTCCAGGAAAAGTTAAGAGAGTAATTTCTATAAAAAAAAGGGAATTGGGAAAGTTAAGAGAGAAATTTCCATAAGAAAGGGAATTGGTACGAAAATGGAAAAATTTAAAAAGATGGCAGGCGGGATAGGGAGGTGACCTTATGGGAACACTCCAACTTCGTACTGCTGCCACTGATTGAGTGATATTACCACGGCAAAGGACGCGTTAAGTCACAACTAACGACTGGTAGACTGGACTTTACCCTAATTAAAAAACTTTCCCCCGGAGCGCCCAGATACATAATTAAAGCACGACGTTGCGACGTCGACGTAACCGACAACAATGGGCGAATGTGTTGCGTAGATGAGATACGTATTGATCCGATGTGATGGACGTAACCGACGTAATCGACATTTTCGGCGACAACACTCAAAAGAAAGGATACCTATCGATCTGGCGTGATCGTCAGGACCGACGTATAACGGTCATCGACGTAATCGTTTCATTTCTTTGCTATCAGATCATATGTATCATTGCCCGGTGTGTCAGGAATTCATGAAAGCGTCCCCACTAGTGGGGTGAGTGTCTCCAAAATCGACAAGCCCTATGTTCAAACACCAAATGTGACCATTATGTTGGCAAAACTTTTCTTGGCTTTGCAACCCTTTCGAACGATGATCGTGATGAGCAATCTGCCTAGAAGTGTTCCATCCTCCGTGAGTATGAAGCACGCGCCACATGCAGATAAGCGGCATTACACCGATTGATGGAGAACACAAAATTCACTATAAAGCCTAATTTCTATGCAAATCTATGGTTTTCTATATTGCCTTTATGCGGTCTGCTTCAGCAGCGCCTGTTGTGCCGCCGTCAATCCGGCCGACGGAAAGGAGGTGCATTTCCGGTTTACAAGTTACTTCTGATGCAAACCTAGTGAACTCTTTGGGAGGCCGCGAGCAAGCTTGTAGGCAGCCAACCACCTCAGAACCATCACACCTTGTAAGCCTCAATGAACTAGCCTCTCTTAGATGAGTCGACACGTCGATGGGAAAGTCGCAGAAGCGCAACAATTCCCCCCCCCCCCAACCCACCGCCGATAGAGGCGGAATTTAGTCCGGACTGTTCAGCTGTGTTTGTTGTACCATGAAATAGTAGCGCTTACAAAGGAGCGTCAAGATCAATAGAAGAGTAAAGTTGCTATACATCAGGCACGCGCACTAAGAAAGGGAATTCTGACTGATCGGAAGTACAAAAACTCACTTGCACATTTCTTCCATAGAATGAGCTCCAATAATCTTTGTACCCTTGGCCTCGTTTTTGAGAAAATCGTCAACTTTCGAGACAGTCCTATTGAACGCACAAACCTAAACGAATACTGCTGAGTGGAAACCAACAAGTATAAATTAGAGTTCCAATTCACAGTTAAAGATGTTTGCTCTTTGGCTGTATTCCGCACTCCAAATTGACTTCACATGAAAAAGCTAGGATATACACCATACCAGAAAGGGGCAGTTCAGCGACGCGGGGGGAAGGGGGAATTTTGCACTATTACCGCTTCCCATCAGTGTCGACCCCATCTAGACTGCCTCTTCTCGAGTTAACAAGTTTTACTGTGATGGCTTGACGAGCTTGCTCCAGGTACACAAGACTGCACAGTTAGACTTGTAAACCGGAACTAGAGAGGCAACGAGAGTGCAAAAGCCCCCCCCCCATCGCGCGTCGCATGCCAACGCGCGCCCACCAAAATTCATGCGAAGAAGACCTATAATAATAAGCGGCCCAAACAGTGCGCGAAGTTGCGTTGCATTCACTTTGCACTGTTCGGAAAAATGGAGGACGACTCAGGAGAATAGAAGAAGGCGCACTCAAGGATTATTTGGAAATGGATCCACTTCGCAAATGTCGGATTGAAAGAATAAGGGTTCGTAGAGCAAGAAAGTGAGCTTTAAAGGAGCAGAAGGCAGTCGACGATCCTCCTCATTTCCCGATTCGCAGACCGGCCACTTTAACCATTCTGTTTAGGTGGCATTCTCCCACTCCACCAATCTCATATTCTACATATGCCCGCCTTCTTGATTGCTCAGCGGCATGTTTGCGATCTTAGGACCCCAGTGTGGAAAACTAGAGTTCATGCGCTTACGAGTCTAGAAGCATAGTTCTAATATCTCTTAATCCTTTTAATATTAAAACGTATTCCAAATTTTTCGCGTCCCTGAGCCGCTTACCCTGGAAAACACCATCTGCATGCCTCCGTCAAGTCTGTTCTTTGCACGTTTTCGAGTTTTTTGTGGCTCCGTTTGTCGAACTGTTTTACATGCAGGGACTTGAACAGGATCCTGCACTTAAGTTCAAGTAAACACGTAACCGCACATTTGAAGAGTAGCGCCATGTGTCCGGACAGCAGTTACTACGCTGCCGTACGCTGAACTTAGGTACGACAACCCACAAAATGTACGGTATCTCCCCCTTCCCTTAGCTACGGCCTACCTTCTTCACGCGACCCACAAAATGGGATAGAGCCCCTAGCTTTCAAATTTGAAAAAACCAATACAGTCGATTGGAGCATTATCACTTACTTTAGCCTCACAAATAAGCGTTTTTAACGCCAGGTTGCCTTCAATCTCCCTTGCACCGCGTCGATTTTCTGTTTTTCTCTGCACCTCTCTCATCTACATGACGCTCACCACTGTGCCCTCATACGTTCCAATTTTTCGCAGTTGATAGGAGGTTCACCCATCGCAGAGTCTGCTCTCATTGAAAAAGCCGAGATCATGTAACCACATGTTTTTTGCACGTTGTAGCTCGCTTCGGCAAGCCCGCTGCAGGCTTCACAACGACGCGTACAAAAGTTCAACTTTAGCGTAACCGCTGAACGCGATTCAAGGATTCAATGTGCGGTATAAAGTTAAAAGCTGCGAACTCGAAATTTTCACAAAAATCCCATTAATAGGTGCCAGAGGTCGTCAGGGGCGGAAGTCAGGTGTGCTTATTATAGTTAAGTTTTGTCAAAGGGGTCATTCTGTCAACGAGATGAAATTTGTCTAAGATACATGTAAATTGGATCGCGACAAAAGGGGCGGAGTTATCTGGGGGCGGGGCATGTAATGTAGATGTAATATAGTGTGGTGTGTGTAGAAAATGTCTGTGAAGGGCTATTTGTGCAAAAGTTGCAAAAAGAGCCACTTCGAATAAAGATTTTAACTAGTTGTTAAAATCTTTCTGTCGAGTTGTTCGTACACTGGTAGACAGCTGGGGTTCATCCTGCCTTTGGGGAAAATCTTTGCGAAATACGACTCCTCAAAACTTGTTTCTGATCTCCTGTCCCATCTCTATCCTACCATCTTCCTGAATTTTTTCGATTTCCTGCTACTTCTCGGGGTTTTCTAACCACCTCCACTTCTCTTCCAAAGAGCTGCCGTCAAGTGGGACAAAATGCGCTTGAGCAAATAAACTGTTGGAAACTTGAAACATGATCTCCCAAACAACCCTGGGTAGTACTGGTGAAATAAACAACGACATGTAAATAAACAGGTGAAAATCGCGCAGACTTATCTACTCACAAAATTCTGAAACGATAATTCATACTTACGGTAAAGCCGTGGTCATTCATGTTCAGAATCAGGTTCTGGCCCATCACAGCCAACCCAATCACGGCAATATCTGCTTCACCCATTACGTCGTTTGTGTGAACCCTGTAAATTGGAAATATACCACTGAATAACACTAAAAAGGCAAAATCAATGCATTGATGTACAGGTTAGAAAGAAATAGAAAGAAAATCAAAACGGTCACCTAACGAATGTCTTAATGAATTCGTCGGCTATTCCAAGGAAAAACATTTACAAGTCGGCAGAAGGTGGCATACAAAAACACCTGATGTCATTTACTTGCTATAAAATACGTTCATTCAAGAATAATCGAAATATAACCGCTGTTATCAGCACTGTTAAAATGTCACATAAACAATATTTAAAAATAGTCGTTGCCAAATGTTTAGGTGCGATTGCGTCCAATACACCGGAAAACGTCTTCTTGTTTCGCTTGCAGTGCACGTCGTTGTTGGGGAATCCCCGACATGGGATGGGGGGTCGTATAGTTGGCCGCCAGGAAGGAAGTCGTAATTTGGGCTGGAGATAGATTTGTTTTGATAGTCGATTTTTAGCTTCAACAGGACCCTCGCCGCGCCCACGAGTTACAATAACAATTTTATCTTGGTGCTGGACAAAGACATATTTAATTACAGTTGTTACAAAACGGCAATACCCCTCCAAAAGCGCAGTCACCGTCACATCGATGTAGTACACAGACATGCCTTCTCCATCGACGGAATATGGAGCATATGCATTGCCTATGCTGTATTGGGGTAGGGCAAAAGACTGGTAATTCGCCGCGCCAGTGGGCGTCGCGTGCGACGTCGCGCCCGCTAATGACGACGATTTTAGGTGGTATTGGTCGAGAATAGACAATGTGTTAGGCATAAGTGTCTACCATGTTCTTGTCTACATGGAATCCAGTGCTCCAATCAAAACGGGGGTGTAAAATGAAAAAAGTCGCGCCCGTTGCCGTGCGCGACTGTACGGTAATTTACGATTCTCTTGCCCGTCTCGAGCTGTATCGACCCGAAATATGAGAAGCATCAATGGGTTCAATCTCCTAGGAATGATAGCAGGGCATGTGAAGACATGAATAGGACTCCTTGTTCATTTCCTTACTGTAAACTAAGACCAGTTCACCTGGAATCTATACTCCGAGATGCTGCGGGGGGGGGGGGGGCTTGATCACGTGCATATTTCATATGGGAGTGGCGGCAGCTGCGCTTTCGTGTACCACGAATAACTCATGCTAGGCTCTTAAAGGCACG